TTGTCCTGCCAGGTTGGAATGCTTTGACTTTCTGGAACCGGATTCCGCATGGAAACTTCGTCTCTGATTGCGTCTTGCTCTCGAGGTGTTGACCGCTCCCACCCTCCGTGTATCACTCGGAGGGACTCCCCGTGAAGAGCTAACAGGTCTACAGCCGGCACAGCGGGGACCCGATGGACATGCGACGTTTGGTTGATCATATCAGAAGAGATATCCATGTTTGTCCTCGGTCCTGGGGCTTCTCGCTCTCCCGAGGCATCAGCAGCACGTTCCCGCTACCGATGTCGCCCTTCACCTGGAATTTCAGGCCCTCCTTGCTGCCGCTCAGCTGCAGAGTTTCCACAAACTCCTTGTAAGCTGGGGAAAAGGGAAAAGCTAGAAGGGTAGCAAGCGAGCAATAAAAGCGGATGCGATGGACCACTTGTGATTTTTGGGCTGCAACTTTCTGACCGTTGCGACAGAACGCGATCAGTGTAGCGTGGTTCCTGCACTTTCATGCGTCTCTTTCCCTGGCTGCGGGGGTCCTTCAGGTCGCGGCAAATCTTTTGAAACTCGGAGGAGGGCAGTCGCGCGATGACCTTGTAGTGCCTTGACAGCACTGGCTCCGTGTGTGGCTCTAGCAACTCTAGTACCAGCTCTGAGCTGCCCAACCAACAAGATGTTCTGTGGAGACGAGAAGATAACATGCCGCTCCAAGCTAACATCTTATTGAAAGCATCTTTTCAAATGGTAAACAATCAGGAACATGTGCTACGAAGACGGCTGTAAGTTTCACATTTCTGCCGGGGCCCGGGCTGCTCAGGGATCTCCATGCGTTCGCTCTCGATCTGCATGAGCTTGAGTTCGAACTCCGCGATCCGGTCGTCCGAACCCTCGCACTGGAAACCCACGACCTCAATCAGTTCTACCAGTCTCACCACCACTTCCGCAACCACATCGCAGATCATTTCACCACCACAGCAACGACCTGATTCTCCACGACTTCCGTGGACAACCACTAGTACGACCACTTACCACCATTCCCACCGCCTCACTTCCCGACACTCATGTCCTCCTTTCCTCCTCCTACGACAACAACTACATGCACAACTACATCTGCTGATTCCCACCACTGCTTGTGTCACCACCGCAACGACGGACACCATCGACAGGCAAGCGGCGTCCGAGTCGACTGGTGGCGGATCTTGAGCGAATCGCTTGGGCTCGTCATCTTCAGGATCTTTGTCAAGGAGTCCATGTTCATCGCCAAGGATGTAAGGTGGC